GATGAAGTAAAAATTAGTTTCCTGGTATTTCTTCGTTAAAATAATAGTTATAATATGGTAAATAATTGCATGCATATAATAATGTTAGAAATTCCATCAGATTTTTTTTTTAAAAGAAAATTCGGCTGATGAGTATCGAGACCGAATTTAGAGAATAATACGCAATAAAAGAAATTAAAATGATTTTTTTGAAAAAATAAAAATAAATACATACAATTTATTATTTTATCAAATATTAGAAGAGCCAATTATAAATTTCTCTTTCCGTCCTATATAAAATGTTATTTTTTTATTTTTGTCAATTTCATAATTTTTTTTAATAAAATAATTATACACTTTGATCACATTTTAAATTTTATAATTTTAAATTTTTTAATCTTAATTAAACTATTTAGTTATTTTAATTTTAATATATAATTTTTTTACAAATATACGTCATTATTTACTAATTATATTTATCCTAAATTTTTGTATCTACAACATAACAATTTTAGTAGAATAGAGGGAATATAATTTTACAAGTAAATTATATAAAACTTTTGCATGTATTTTATTTATTGCGTAAAACTTCGTGTGTTAAATTAAAGTTTGCACAAAATATCATCTTTGTCCAAAGCTTATATTTAGGTGTAAATACGAACCCAATTATATAAATTTTGTACAAAATAAAATAGATAAATATATTAAATAGTCATTTTTTTAATAAAATAAATAAAAATAATCGGTTAATACTTCCTTTTATATTTTTTTAGACAAATTATTATTTAATTTTTACAAAAAAGTTAAAAAAAAAAATAAGGATTGATTTTTTATTTATTATATTAAAAAAGACTATTTAAAATATTTTATTTTTCTATTTATATAAAAATATGCATAATTTAGGTCAATATTTATAATCAAATACTAGTTTTGGACGAAAATATCATTTTATGTATATTTTAATTTAACACAAAGAAATTTAACACAATAAATAAAATATAAGTGTTCTTTTAACCAAAATATATACACGTTTTCAAAAAATATAAATATATTACACATATTTATTATTTTTATATTTTTTACATAATTTTTTATATTTGATATTAAAAAAAAAAATACTCATTCAAATTATCTCACAAAATAAACACGTATTTGTTTACTTTTTAATAAAAACAACCTTAATTTTAAAATAGAATATAATATCGATTAAATGCCTATATTGAATGGTGTTGACTTTCTTAATAATTGATTGGCACCTCATCAGGTGTCCATCAATATTCATGATTACTGAAATTTTAATTCATTAATTAATAAAATTTTAATTAGCTATTTGAAATTTGGTTATGATATTATGATAATTTTATTACTCCGTGGTCCGATATATTTTGGGCTTATTACTATATATACGAGCATTTAGAGTTTATTACGGTAGATACGAGAATTTAGGTAAAATATAATTAGTAAATAATTAAAAAATATATTAATAAAAATAATTATTATTTAGTAAAAATAATTATAGATTAACATTAAAGATAAATAAATAATTTAATTAAAATCAAAAAAATTGTAAAATTTAAAATTTAAAATATAATTAAAGTGCATAATTATATTTTCAAAAATAAAAATAACAAAATATATGAGACGAATAAAAATAAAAAATATAAACAAATTATATAGGAACGAGGGAATATTATAATTATTATTATTATTAGCAACAAATTATGACCATGCTTCTATTGGGTCCTAGTTATTGATTGATAATGACAACTCTTTTATTAAGTTGTGTTTGTTTGTGTTTTGATTTGAAGAAAAAAAAAATTAATGTAAAATATAAGAAATTATATACATAATATAAATAATGAGTTTGCCATATATTATGTTAAAAATTATAACTACTTATTTTTATACATATATGTATAATAAGAATATCTATACTGCATCCACCTAATACAGTTATTATTATTATTTCATTTGAAATATTTTAAAATATCTGTAATTTTCCTTTATTGATAGTCATTTTATTTTATTTTTTTTTTTTCATATTTTACTTTTATAAATATAATTTATAAAAAAATAAACTGATTTTTTTGTCCCGTAATTGAAGCTTGTTGCAAATTAATTTTATAAGTGAAAATTTTTCGTAATTTTAGTCATTTGACGAGATGCCTACTGGCACCCATGTGGCTCGTCGGAAAACACGTGTTCGCCAGGCGTTGCTGACCCGGCGGACACGTGAATTTTTATTTTTATTATTATTTAAAAAAATATTTTCAATATTTTTATTTTTTTAAATTTTTGTAAAAATACAAAATAAATAAATTAAAATTTAAAAATACAAAAAAAAAATTCACGTATCCGTTGTGTCGCTGACTCGGCGGACACGTGTCCTCCGACGAACTGCGCGGATGCTATGTAGGCATCTCCGGTACCGAAGAATTAAAAGTGCGAAAAAATTCCACTTATGGGACTAGTTTACAACATGCTCTAATTACAAAACTAAAATAATAAAATGATTCAATTACGGGACTAAAAAATCAGTTTATCTTTTATAAAATTATTTCAAATAAAAAGTTGGAGCAAAATTAATCATCAGTAAGTTCTCAAAGTTCTTCTGTTCTGTAACTTCTACACCTCTTTCTTGTGTGTTTTTTGTTGCTTAATGTTGAAAAAAAGTAGTATCTACTTTTGCTTATTTAATATTTAGCATTTGATCGTAAAATTAATTTAGTTGTGTGGAAGTATTTTATTTTAATAATATCATATTTAATAATTATTTTTATTTTGATGATATTAATTCATATTTGAATGCTCTAAGAAAATTTTGGAGCATTTTGAAAAATCAAGTCATCATATCTCTAAGATCTTTTTCAAACTTGCTCTCGTTTTTTACACCCAAGAAATGGATGAATGATGTAATTCAAGTCGAATATTTTTTTTATTGAAATTCGGGTTTGATTTCCAAGTATGTGTGTACGGAATATTTTTTTTAAAAAATAAAAATTTCGTATTTTTAAGAATCTCTAAGAACGCTGTATAATATAGATTTTGTGTTCATTTGTCTTTTTTTAAATGTTTTGAGTGATTATAAAAAATATTAACAATTTTAATTTAATATAATATTGTTTAAATGAGTAGTTGATTAATAATTTATTCTGATTAATATAATTTTATAGTTTTACTGAAACATGCATAATACAAAACAATTATTGAAGCAAATGCTACATTGAATTGCTTTTACAAGTGTACATATGTCCAATTTAGATATTTTTGTATGGCTTGGAATACTTGTCAAAATACTATTTGAATTTTTTGTTTGTCTAGGCTGATTTATCATAATTTTATTATTTGTTATTTTTCCCATCTAGATTGTTATTTTTCTTATATATTTATTTTTTGGTTGGAACAATTGTTTCCATTCAAAATTGATTGAGTAACGGCTAGAATCGAAAATATAAATTTCAATATCGTTCGAGTTAGAAACGTGATTCTGCAGTAGAGATTGAAGTAGTGACAATGACACGACGAAGACATATATATCAAAATATTATATGAATAAATACGAAACATAACGAGTTATGAATGCTTCAGAAAAAAAAATAACTCTAATACCATATTAATTTTTGGATAAAATGATATATCATTAATAATATAGTCAATGTTTATTTATAGATAAGTACAAAACGAATAAACTAAAAAATAATAGCAAAAATTAAAATAAAAACATAAATACTTCAACATATGTATTTATTTATTTTTTTATAATGTAAAAATAACTATTATTTTTCAAATACATGTCTAGTAATTTGAATTTATTCTTCTTCAATCATTCCACTTGATAAGTATATGTTCTCTTTAGCGAAGATGATATTTTGTATATAAAAGTTATTTTTATATTGTACTTTTTACTTTTATTGGATATGAGGCTTGGTTAATATATTGCTTATTTGGTCTTGTTTCGAGATAAATTAAATTGTGTAACTCTAAGTTAAATTTGGATATATGGCATAAGTCGCAGTACTATTAAAATAAATTTTTATCTGGTAGATAGCTTTATTATAACCTCAATCGGAATGTTTGAAGTTAGCATAAATTACAACCGTTTCTAGCGAAATATTTGAAATTAGAATAAATTACGATCGTTCTAAATGAAAAGTTTGAAATTGGAATAAATTATTACGGCGTCAAAATACTCTATCTGTCCCAAAATAATAGTCTTATTTTTATATTTTCATACGTCCTAAAATAATAGTCTAATTTTCATAAATAATTATATCACCCTAAAACAACTTTTACTTTATTATTATTATTATATAAATATCATTATTTTTATACAAATACACTCACAAAGATATTTTATACCAATTTCAATATAATATTATTATTTTTCAAATTCCGTGTTGAGCCTAAATGAGACTATTGTTTTATAAAATTTTCATAAAATATGTATGTAAACTGAGCTTATATATTACAATTTTTTTTTAAACATCAAATAGATTAAACTCATCCGTCCCAAATATAGTATAAATTTAATTTTAGGTACAAAAATTTAGATAAATAATATTAAGTAAAATAATTTAAGATAAATACAAAAAACTTACCCATTCTCTTATCTTAGATTTTTTATTTATTTTGAAAAAAAAAAATTCTCTATAAAAATGTACTATAATTTTTTTTACATATTATTATATTCAATTAGGATTTAAATATAAAACACAAACATAACATATAAACACAAATACAATCCCAACATACACAAATATGTTTGTTTTCATAAGACTATGGAGTTTCGGGAAACATACGAAATAATAATAATAAAAAAATAAAATACTTTATATGTGTTATATGTGTTATACACGTAGCATCTACGAAGGTGCTACGTATTTGATATGTTTGCTTACATTTCCTTCATGTAGGGGTTTGTTTACCTATAAATATATGCGTGAATGAGATGGAATAAACACACTTCAATTTTTCTTTGAATCCTCTCTGCTCTCTATGCTTGCTTACCACTATTATACAATATTATATATATATCTTTGTTTGCTTACGTATTATTATATAATATTATATATATATATCTTTACATATATTTATATATATATATATACTATACATCTATATATTATAATATACACACTCACGCACACACATCTACGTATATATATTTACTTATCTATTTATATATTATATACAATATATGATATAATACAAAATATAAAATAGTGGTTAGCGGTAGAGATAATTAATATTTTTATTGGCTAATTTTATAATAATATCACAACACGTTATCAACACGATTATATATTTTAATTTCCGCAAGGTAATATTTCATATTTTATCTGTTTATTATGTCTAACCTTGCCAAACAGAAATTTCTCCCTCTCCTCGTTTCTGGCCAAAATTATATGGCATTGGCTCGCATGTTAAAATGCATCCGGCATCAATGGGCTTGAAAAATACCATTGCCCGGGATAAAAACTCCCCGAGCCAAGATCGTGCAAAGGCCATGATCTTTTTGTGCCATCACATCGATGAGGCACTGAAATGCAATATGTCACGCTGGAATCCCCGCTCGAATTGTGAGAGAGATTGAAAGGAAGATATGATCATTTGAGGCTGACATTGTTGCCAAGGGCACGAAGCGACCAGCAAAGCCTACGGCTTCAGGACTTTAAAACAGTCCAAGAATATAATTCTGCAATGTTTAAAATAACATCACAGCTGCGCCATTGTGGCGAAAATGTATCTGAATCTGATATGATGGAGAAAACTTTCTCCACTTTTCATGCCTCTAACATGGTTTTGCAGCAACAGTATCGCGAAATGGGCTTCCAGAAATATTATGAGCTAATCACCTGTCTTTTGCTGGCCGAACAAAATAATGAATTGTTGTTGAAAAATCACGAATCTCGGCCGACAGGTGCAAATCCATTTCCAGAGGCAAATGCAATACAACCGGCAAATTCGATGCGTGGTCGTGGGCAAGTCAGAAATCAGCGAATTGATCGCGATCGAAATCAGAATTGCGGACGGGGCCGAGCAAACGCATACAGTCATAATAATTATCAAAACAGGCCCCGATATGTGCCAAATCGGTGTTATAATGACAGAAGACCGTACAAACCTCAACAGAGGATCAACACCGGGATAAACAGAAATAATGACGAGGAATGCACCCGGTTGGAATCAAAGGCCATTTGGCCCATGTTTGTCGCACAACCAGTCACTTGGCTGAACTGTATCGGGCCTCAAAAGAAAGACAGGGAAGAACTGCCCCCGAAACAAATCACGCTGCCCACGATGACACATTTGACGATTTGATGAATGAAAATATCACGCACCTGGATGCCGATGATCTGCTTGATATAGCTGATGATGTTAAATGACAAAATGTTGTTGTATCTCTTTTGTTATTTTGGTGCTTTTTGCCCCCTTTTTGTATTACCCCCTATAATATAAGTCTATTTTGATTATATTACTAATACATGTCTTTTATTATTTTTACCTTCTTGCAAAGATATGGATGCCAAATATTTTGGAGCCGATGACAACATCTGCCTTATCGACAGTGCTACGACTCACAACATTCTGAAAAACAAAAGTTATTTCTCCCATCTTAATATGGGAAACACCACAATTGTTACTATCAATGGTGCATCGAAAATGATTGAAGGCTCAGGAAAAGCTATTGTATATCTCCCAAAAGGGACAAAAATGGCAATTGAAAATGCCTTGTTCTCGAGCAAAGCTCGAAGGAACTTACTGAGCTTCAGTGATATTCGGAAAAATGGGTATCACATTGAAACATTGAATGAGATAGAAAATGAGTATCTCTTGATAACTCAGGTTGTAAATGGCAAAAGGATTGTGAAAGAAAAATTGCCATCATTTTCTTCCGGCTTATATTATTCAAAACTCAGTGTCATTGAAACATATCACCTAGTAGACCAAATGACTACTAGCGAATTTAAAACTTGGCACGATTGACTTGGGCATCCTGGGAATGTAATGCTGAGACGAATTGTTGAAAATTCAAATGGCCACTCATTGAAAAAGAAAAATATTTTGAGTCCGAATGAATTTGCTTGTGGTGCCTGTTCCCAAGGGAAGTTAAGAATCAGACCATCTCCAACAAAGGTTGGATTTGAATCCCCAACTTTTCTGGAAAAAATTCAGGGTGATATTTGTGGACCAATAGATCCACCATGTGGACCCTTCAAGTACTTTATGGTACTAATTGACGTGTCAACGCGATGGTCACACGTATGTCTGTTATCTACTCGCAATCTAGCTTTTGCTAGACTACTTGCACAAATAATTAAATTGCGAGTACAATTTCTAGATCACCCGATAAAAAAAATACGTCTAGATAATGCTGGAGAGTATTCATCACATACATTTGATGATTACTGCATGTCAATTGGGATTACTGTGGAACACCTTGTTCCCTATGTACATACGCAAAATGGCCTGGCTGAATCCTTTACCAAAAGATTGCAATTAATTGCTAGACCATTATTGATGAGGTCTAAACTTCCTGTATCATGTTGGGGACATGTTATATTGCATGCAGCAGCCCTTGTGAAAATAAGGCCGACCAGTTATCAATGTTATTCCCCCACTCAATTGGTTTCTGGAAAAATACCAAATATATCTCATTTGCGAATATTTGGGTGTGCTGTTTATGTTCCAATTGCTCCACCTCAACGCACGAAAATGGGACCTCAAAGAAGATTGAGTATATATGTCGGGTATGAATCACCCTCGATCGCAAAATATCTTGAACCAACAACAGGTGATTTATTTACTGCAAGGTTTGCAGACTGTCATTTTGATGAATCTCATTTCCCGACATTAGGGGGAGACAGTAATCAACTGAAAAAAGAAATTTCATGGAAAACACCACTTGAATTTGATCCTCATACGAAACATAGTGAACTTGAAGTTCAAAGAATTGTGCATTTGCAGAAAATTGCAAATCAATTGTCTGATGCTTTTAATGATGCTGCCAGGGTTACGAAATCATATATTGCAGCAGCAAATGCACCAGCTAAAATAAATATCCCAGAAGGAAAAGTGTCAAGTGCTAATGAGCATACTGCCCACGTAAAACGTGGCAGACCATTGGGTTCCAAGGACAAGAATCCACGAAAGAAGAAAATTGTAAATACTGGTGAAGAGATCAACAATGATCAGATACTTGAAAAGGTCAGTACAACTCCTGAAGAGGTTGATACTAAAAATTCTGATGAAAGTGGTGATGAAGTTATTGAAACTTCTGTTAACTATACCACAAGTGGAAAATATTGGAACAGAAAGAAAACAAATATTGATAATGCATTTGCATATTTTGTAGCACTTGATATAATGAAAGATGACGAGGATTATGAACCAAAATCAGTTGATGAATGTCGGCAAAGAGATGATTGGGCAAAATGGAAAGACACAATTAAGTCTGAACTTGACTCATTGAAAAAATGGCAAGATTTCGACTCTATAGTCCAAACACCGGAAAATGTGAAACCTATTGGTTACAGATGGGTGTTTGTGAGAAAAAGAAATGAAAATAATGATATCACAAGATATAAAGCAAGGCTTGTAGCCCAGGGTTTTTCCCAGAGACCGGGTATTGATTTTGAAGAAACATATTCGCTGGTCATGGATCGAATAACATTCGGGTATCTGGTGAGCCTGGCAGTACACAATAATCTTGATATGCGATTAATGGATGTGGTCACTGCCTATCTTTACGGCTCTTTAGACAATGATGTCTATATGAAAATCCCAGAAGGAATCAACATACATGAATCATTTAAATCAAAGCCAAAAGAATCATATTCCATCAAATTGCAAAAATCTTTGTACGGGCTCAAGCAATCAGGCCGAATGTGGTACAATCGTCTCAGCGAAAGCTTAACCAAAGAAGGTTATATAAATCACCCTATCTGTCCATGTGTTTTTATAAAGAAAAATGGGTCTGAATTTGTAATCATCGCTGTATATGTCGATGATCTCAATTTAATTGGAACTCCTAATGAAATCCAGAAAGCTGTTGAATATTTGAAAAAGGAGTTTGAGATCAAAGATTTTGGAAAAACTAAATTTTGCCTTCTGCAAATTGAGCATTTGGAAAGTGGAACACTTATCCATCAATCAAATTATACCAAAAGGGTACTAAAACAGTTTCTGATGGATAAATCACATCCGCTAATTACCCCAATGATCGTCAGAGCACTCGATCCAACAAATGATCTATTTAGATCAAAAGAGGAAAATGAAGAAACACTTGGCCCAGAAGTGTCATATATGAGTGCTATAGGCGCATTGATGTATCTTGCTAACAGCACCCGACCTGATATATCATTTGCTGTAAACTTATTGGCAAGATTCAGCTCATCGCCTACTCGACGATATTGGAATGGAATTAAGCACATTTTTCGCTATCTCCAATGAACAATTGATCTCGGGTTATTTTACTCGAAAGATTCTCGACATGAATTAATTGGTTTTGCCGATGCAGGATATTTATCTGATCCTCATAAAGCCAAGTCACAAACTGGCTACATATTTACTTGTGGCGAAACTGTAATCTCATGGAGATCGATGAAACAAACTTTAACTGCCACTTCTTCAAATCATGCTGAAATATTGGCAATACATGAAGCTAGTCGAGAATGTGTTTGGTTGAGGTCAATGACTCAACATATTCTGAAAAATTGCGGGTTAATACCTGACGATAAAATTCCCCCAACTACATTGTATGAAGATAATACGGCTTGTATAGCCCAATTGAATGGGAGTTACATTAAAGGAGATAGAACGAAACATATTTCACCAAAACTCTTTTTCACTCATGACCTTCAGCAGAATGGTGAAATTGATGTGCAGCAAATTCGATCCCATAATAATTTGACGGATATATTAACCAAGGCCTTGCCGACGGCAAACATTTGAAAAACTGGTGAAGAAAATTGGGATGCGTCGGTTAAGGGATCTCAAATAATGCTCAGATCAGAGGGAGCGATCAGAGGGAGCGAATCAATACAAGAATGTTGTACTCTTTTTCCTTCACTAGGATTTTTTGTCCCACAGGATTTTTTCCTAATAAGGTTTTAACGAGTCATATTCTCTGTATAAAAGCATCCAAGGGGGAGTGTTATACACGTAGCACCTACGAAGGTGCTACAAATTCGATATGTCTGCTTTCCTTTCCTTCGGTTTGTTTACCTATAAATATATGCGTGAATGAGATGAAATAAACACACTTCAATTTCTCTCTGAATACTCTGTGCTCTCTATGCTTGCTTACTACTATTATACAATATTATATATATATCTTAGCTTGCTTACTTATTATTATATAATATTATATATATATCTTTACATATATTCATATATATATATATACTATACATCTATATATTATATATACACACGCACACACATCTATGTATATATATTTACTTATCTATTTATATATTATATACAATATATGATATAATACAAAATATAAAATAGTAATTAGCGGTAGAGATAATTAATATTTTTACTGGCTAATCCTATAATAATATTACAATAATATAATATTTTATAAAAGAATAATAAATATTTAATACAATATTTTTTTAAAAAAATTTAATGCTAATTAATATTTCTTCCTTTAAAGTTATATGTATATTTTTTTGGTTCATTTATCTAAGTCAAATATATATATATATATATAGTTTAGTAAAAGTACTGTGGTTAAATCCCAAAATATTTCTATTTTTTTTGTCATTATTCTTTCAATACCGTTGATATCAAAAGTAAAAATGATTTTATAGGTATATATATATTTATAAAATACTAATATACTTAAATTTATGTGTAAAAATCAAACAAATACATATAAATCGGACATAGTAGCCATTTTAAAAATTTTTAAAAGTATATACACCCTCCGGATAAAAAATGTTATCATTTTTTATTTACATCTGTTCCAAAACAAAATTACAATTTCTTAATTTAGTAATTGTACTGCTTACCTAATATAATAAATACCATAACAATTTATAATATACTCCCTCCGTCTCAGCTAATTTGTCAACTTTAGTTAGTATTATATAATTAATAAGTAATTAAGAAACTCATTCGTAAAAAATAATTATAATATAATAAAAATAATTATAGATTAAGATTAAAATGATTAAATAACTTAATTAAAATTAAAAAGAAATATATAATTAAAATGTATAATCATATTTTAAAAAAAAAAAGAAAATGACAAATTACTTGGAACGAAGTGAAATAGAAAAAATTGACATATTATTAGAGACGGGGAGAGTATTACACAAATATTATTACTATAGTATACAATACTTGTTGTAAATTTATATCCCAGGTTGTCGGGTTCATTCGAATAATACCCCGTATATAAAATTAAATAAATCAATTAGCGAAAATAAAACTCGAATAAAAACTCAATTAATTTAACGCCGAAACGAAATAGAAAGCAAAAAATTAATCTAAGGCCAAAAA